AATAAATATTGGACTTTAATCCTGCCTGTCTGTTCTGTGAGTTCTGCATCTTGGGCTAGAAAGCCTGATAAATCATGACAGTTAACATAGATACAGTTTTTCATTGTTAGATTATGTTTCTCGAGGAAAATATTAATTCAATTTTAAGGTTCTAAAAGATCTTTACCAGGGATGTTGATAAATATGGTGTATGTCGCCCAAATTTTACTGATTGCATTTTTATTATACTTTACTTTATATCAAGAACAAAAGTAGTCCTGACATTCAGATACAACTGTTAAAAAAAGTTGAACATGAATCAATACTCAAAAGCTGCCATTCATTCATATATAACCCTCTTTCTTTGTTTAGAGATAGGTTGGATATTTTATGATCCTGTAAAAGTATAAATAGGTAATACAAAATCTGGAGGTAAAGCACCCATTATATTAAAAGCTTTAAAACACTGTTGAGAATAAATAGCTTGACCTGCTTGTTTTGGCAATGGTGCGGATGAAGTCTTGGACGAGGGGTAAAACCTGAACCACAGCAGGCGAGGGTATGATGCAGTCAGAGAGGCAAGGTCTCCAATAAGATACAGCAGGTGGTTTGAAAGGAAAACAAAAAGTGGGGGCATAGATGACAAAGTCGGGGAATATGTGGGGAGAGAAGATATACCTAATAGTTTCACTAACTTAATCATGCGAGTAAAGCATCAGTGATGGCCAGCGGCAGCTGTCAGGGCTGCAGCCCAAAACCTGCTTTTTACAGCCTGTGATCCCTGGCTGCAGGAACACCATTTTAAAACCATGAAAGGAAAGAGGCCTTCAATTGAGTTATTGGGCTGCAGAATGAGCGGGACTGAGAGAGTTCCGTTAACTTAATTAAACACTAATATGAAGCAGTCTGTGCCTTGTTCATTTTAAAAGAGTCTTTCATGTATGAATTGTGTATATGGGGCTGAAGGTGATGACTTTGACAGAGATGTTTGGGAGCTCAGACCCCCCTAGAGTTCCTACTGCTGGTCAAGTCAGTGGTCTTATTGGGTTAGGACAGACAGATTAGTGTGTGTGCTGTGGCTGTATGTGGGAGAGTGTTTGGATAGCCTTACTTTTATAGGATTAGTCAAAGGCCACGGGGGGTTGGGAGCTTCGAAGAGTTTGCAATTCTAGCTTGAACTCCTGTTTTATGGAGTTTTTAAAAAATTACATCTGAACTAAATTATCATGTTGTATTTTACTGGCAGTGAGCTGTTCTAAAAAATTTGCCTTTTTTCTTTTTGAAAAAAAAAAAGTTTTTTCTTTTCTTTTTAATTAATGTGTTGTTTTACAAGGACTTTATGTTTTCCAGCTCCTCGGAAGAGAAATGGCTTGGTTTGTTCAGAGCCCAAACCTCATTCCTAACCAAAGTCCTTTGGGATTTGCCGGGATACCAGCTAAAAGCTAACTTATACTTCTTTGAAATGTTTGGATGTAACAGAGCCTTTTTTGGAGTTAACAATAGGCCAATCCCTCTATCAAGTTAATAAATCTAATAAAATTTTAGAAACTTGAAGACAAACTGCCCTCTGTGGCTTTAATACCTTGGGTTAAGAAGTAAAATGTTTAAGAATTATTTCAGCATAGAATTGATCAAGAAAACACTGTATTGAATGGAAAGAGATAAAGTCCACAGTGCCAGATAAGCACAAACTGTTGAATGCATTGCAAGCATGCTGCAATCATGTAAATGATGCGGACTACAGAAAACAGAAGCACAATAATTTATAGCAGCACAAAAATACTGGAAAAAAAGACTGCAATAGAATCTAGTAGAATGATGAAAACTCAAAAATATAAATGAAAAACAAGAACACTGCTAGTAGGAAAGTGCTTTTAAGTGCAGAAAACCAGGAGTCAACCAGGAAGTTAAAAAAAAGTAACCCAGTTGGCATTTTGACGTCATGTCACTGTTGAATCAACATCAGTTGGTTGCATTGGATAAAGGTGGAATTTTGTATAGATTTTACAAATCTAATCAACGTTGAAATAGCAACTTCATGTTTCGCAACATGAATTTGCCAACATTGGATCAATAATGATTTTGGGCTAAATTTTACAAATCTTATCAGGGAGAAATTTCATAATAACCAAAGTTCTCCTTTTTAACACAGAATTATTAGAACTCTGTTTTGTATTCAACAACTTTTACAATGATCAAAGCCATTGTGGATGCTGGCATGAATGTAGTTAATTAATCTGCAATGTTTGGATGTTGGAACAACATTATTTTTTATCTGACATATATTGGTAACATTTTTAAAAGTCACGTTTTCAAAAACAATGTTTATTAGACATGCAACTCTAAACGTTTTCATATTTCAACACTGAATCCATGATCCACAATTTCAGCTGTTTGGTGTTTAATGTTAAATCAATGTTTTTTCTTAAATTGGCATTTTTTTCAACAAATTTTTAACATTTAACATCAGTTGAATGCCAGCTGGGACGTATACCAGTACGCTAGAGGACTGTCTGATAGACATGCAAATATTATTACCATAAATATGCTTATGTTCGAACCAAGGGCGTAGGTTTGATCTCAATCTTAGTAGGGACACTATTGGTCTTAAGTTGAATTGGTCTGATGTCATTGGTCCTACGCATTATGCATGTTCTTATTTATTTATTTTTTTTTATGCTTGATGTGAGCATCGGGGCACATTTCGTTTAAAGAGAAAACAGCATTATTTACTACATTTATACAAATTTTATAAGCAATACATTCACAATATGCTGTTTATCAATGTTTGAAGCATCAGTGGCTCAGAATAATGTAAAATTGGGACAACTTAACACTTTGAAAAGGGTTACATTTGAACTTACCAGTGAAGGTAAATAAGTGCCTTTATAACTAAATATAGTCTAAATATGTCTGTTGTATGTGTATTTATCCTGTGTTTTCTTTTAAAGAAATTGTGCAGAGATAAACAGAGGTAAAACACACTCTTAATATTTTTATCTGATATGCTCTGTATTATAAAACAAAGCAAAATGACATATTCAAGGGACTGCAAATGGATTTATTGTGTTTACATGGGCTCGGGAACTATAAGAGGAACTGACACTGAGCATTTAAAATATTAACTTCAATATAGAAGCTGTGAGAAAAGAAGCGGCTGCTGTAACAATACTTTAAGAACTTCAAACAGGTTATTCAAATAGAATGACTGGTAGGGACAAGTAGGTCGGGCCAAAATTTTGGTAGGGATATGTCCCTATGGTCCCTATGCAAACCTACGCCCACACAGTTCGAACACACAGTGAAGAATTAAAGCAACATACGTAATTTTAAAAACCTTACTGAAAAGTACCTATTCTTTCTATTCTTTCTTACATGCTACATGCTTAGCAGCTCATGCTAAAGCTCTGTTTGCATAACAAAAAACGTTGTTTTATTGGCACTGGGGAGTATTTGTTATGAAATTTGATTTGCTTGTATTGTCTCTGTAAAGTGCCTCGAGATGACGTGTTGTAAACTGACCCTATATAAGTCGATTACATTGAATTGTAGTATAGATTGTTTTCTTCCAACACCAAAGGAAGACCCTTCCCTTCACTGCAACACAGCCTGTTCACATGTTGGTGCAGACATTATAATACCAACCAGAAAATTAGACTCTGAACAAATCTTAAAAAAGACTGAATAAATCTAAGGTCTCTCACAGCACATTTTCACAACTTTGACACACAAAAAAGTTGCTTTTGTTTGAAATTAATGCAGAAATAATTTCCCTCTGCTTGACACAACTGTGTTGTTTACTAAGCAGGTGCAGCACGGTCAAGGTAGGTGCTTCCTGGAAAGGATAGGGTTTGACAGCTCCACATAGACATTACCTTTGGATTAATCTGAATTATGCTTTTATTAATCAGGATACCTTAAAGAACCTAATGTAAAACCATTTAACTGAAATCTACATGAGCAAAGTACATGACAACAAGACCCCAATGGTTTTGGCTATTATTGCTGATGGGTTTCATAGGGACTGTTTAAAGGAATAGTACACCCAAAACATGATTAGCCTTCATTTTCTACTCACCCCCATGCTGAACAACACTCTGGAGTACTTTTTTGATANGTTGTTCAGCATGGGGGTGAGTAGAAAATGAAGGCTAATCATGTTTTGGGTGTACTATTCCTTTAAACTTTCATGAACTGATGCAGTCGGTTGGACATTTTAACATTTGGCAGTGGAAAATAAAAACTGAAACATTGTACTTTATAGAAAGGAGATTAAATAGGTCACTCTTTTCAAAAAGCATCTAAAAAAACTGCCTCATAACACATCAGTAACAAACCACAAACCATGCTGCCATTTATGTCTCTGCTGTGTGTTCATATATATATATATATATATATCTTCTTCATCTTCGATGTGACTCTGCTGCCATGAACAGAAATTTAAGCAGCTGATATTCTGAGGGAAAATAACTACGCTGTTCTCATGGTTATTTTTCCTGCAGGCTGAACTTCTGTGACATCGTTGTGAATCCAACTAACATGGGACTTCATTTCCAGGAGAACTCTGGTGTCCTGTTTACCATCACAGATATGAACTTCACTGGAAAACTGGAGCAAAACATTTATTTTTACACTTATATGTGAGTTTGAAATTTATATCTCAACTATTAAACCAATGAAGACATACTGGTAAAAATCCCATTTAGACTGGAAGTTTAACCCCAAATTGTAAACATTCTTTATCTATTAATTTGCAGAGACAGAAATGTTGTTAAATTGTTACTTCAGAAAAGTCAATTAAAGGTTTAAAGGACGGTCTTTTATTTCCGGCTGGATCATCTAAATAAGTGGTCCTCCTAACTGTCAATCATTCTGGTGATATGTTTACGTAAGACTGTCCTTCATGCTCGTCTCCATTTTCAATTTCCGGTGGTGAGTCTGACATGGTGGAAAAGTTGCAAATCTTCTTTTGGAAAGTAAGCTGTACGCTCTCATGCGTTTTTAATAGGCGTTCCCCCCCTTGGGAGCGGGTACAGGGTTGTGCATGTGTATTTTTTTTAAAGTGGAGAGGGCGGGTCCAAAAAATCCTCCACTATACCTTTTGATCATTTAAAACCAACAATTTAAGATATTTCAATCTGAAAAACTCCCACAAAGAGAAAAGACAATTAGAAGAAATTTATTGATACAATTACTTGGTCTTTGG